CCAATATCTCGCCTCAGAATCGTTGCACAGCAATAAATTTCACATCTCCTAATAGTACGAACGTTCTTCTTTCGAAAGAACTTGGTTTGTTCACCGTGACACAAGACGAACTTTGTTTGTCCAAATTCCAAAATTCCATTTTCGAAAGAGGCGCTAACCCCACGATCGTTGCCACGAGAGCGGCACAGCAACCTGGCCTCCTCGTTTGAAAACAATCCGCCAGGGGGGGGAGGATCTGCACTGGAATGAGGGGGCTTTCAAAAAAACACGATAAAAAACACGATATAAATAATAAAACATACGGTTGAAGTGTTGAACGAAGTGAAGTTCGATACTTTAAAAAGATTGGTATGATTGTCAAAAGCTAAATGTTATAATAAGTAAATAATGTTCTTGTTCTAAAAAATATGTAAGGAAAAGTTCATATTAAACAAGATATTTCTAACGTTTCTCACGCTTCTAAAAATAGGACTGATTCAAAACTTGTTTATTGTTTATTGTTTCTTGTTTATCGTCGAATACGGATGATAAAGTAATCATTTCTATTTATATCGTGTTTTTTATCGTGTTGTTTTGAAAGCCCCCTCATTCCAGTGCAGATCCTCCCCCCCTGGCGGATTGTTTTCAAACGAAGAGGCCAGGTTGCTGTGCCGCTCTCGTGGCAACGATCGTGGGGTTAGCGCCTCTTTCGAAAATGGAATTTTGGAATTTGGACAAACAAAGTTCGTCTTGTGTCACGAGAATTGCTGCAATGGTGAACAAACCAAGTTCTTTCGAAAGAAGAACGCTCGTACTATTAGGCGATGTGAAATTTATTGCTGTGCAACGATTCTGAGGCGAGATATTGGACTCGATGTCGGAGGGTATATCAGATAAGTGGCTAGCCTTGTAGTTATTTATGTCCTATGTAGCCAGTGCCAGTACTGACGACCGTTTAAGTACAACGAAAACGTAAAGCAATCGCATCAAATAAAGAAACACAACAAATGCATTCTATTAACAAGTTAGTCCTTTACAGATATATTTTTTTACATATACTGCTAATATTTTTTGAATTATTTCGTTATTAAATATTATAACGGTTAAATATTCCGTATAAATATTCAAAATATATAGACCATTCGGAGATTGGGCCGCCTGTGGGCCTTCCAGCGCGACCCAGTTCGGATATTTCCCGAAGCTGACAGCCCACAAGTTAACGACAGCCTGTAACTCGCCCGCGCTTGGAAGGCCAGGGACTAGGCTGTCATTTTACAAATTATAGTAATAGACCAATTGCGAAACTTAGTGACCGCGCCTTAAACTGCACGAAAACGAGGCTTATTATGCAAAAACAAATCATTCTCCTATATTTTTATATGGGGAAAAATGAATTTCAGTGTTTGAGACGCGTTTTTATGGTAATCTCTTCATTTTTTCAATATTTCTGTTTTGACAATGTAAATCTTTATTAAATTAAACTTGTTCATAGATTTAGTCTTACTTCAAATTTCACTGTTTTTCGCGGCGTGCGCGGCAAAGTTTTGCTGTTTTTCGCCGTCCGATAAAAGAAGCAGATTATACCACAGAAAGAATCAGGTATTTTCTGTCTGTTTTATTAATATATTTCAAAGAATAAGTTGTAGCATTGATTAATTTTGTTTCAGTTGTAATGTAATAGCAAGGTTTCGATTTTAACTTTAAAAATATGAAAGTAAATGTCGGGCAAAATTTGTAGAAATTTTATGTTATTATCCTTTGACAAAATCGGTTTTTTCTCGCACGAAGTCTAAAAAAATCTGGGTAGAAAGAGTTATATTTTAGTTTGTTAAATTATACTGGCTATTTTATTTGCATCTTGATCTGATTTTAAAGTCTAGATTGATCTTTTCCATATGTTTGTTCCATCGCATGCTAAAACAACAACGAAATATCTCTCCAAAGCGGGTAAAAATATAGTGGTAAATCGATGTTTAGATAAATTTAACAAATATTTATATAATCTAGTACGAAATATTAAGAAAAGATCAAAGAGATTCAAGAAAAAACACTTTAAAAACCCTAAAATTCACTTTTCGCTATATAAAAATATAGAAATTGTTTTGTTTTTGCATAATAAGCCTCGTTCTCGTGCAGTATGAAGGCGCGGCCACTAAGTTTCGCAATTGGTCTATAATTTAAGGAATTCTTAAATAGTGGTCACGAACGAAACATTCGTATAATTTGAGGCAGGTTATTCCACAATAAGGCTCCACTATAACAAAGGCTTCGTTTTAAATAGTTATTCGTGGCTTAGGTAAATTTAGCTTTATTTCAGAGTCTCTTAAGTTATATCCACTGCCGCGAACAGAGAAGAGATTTTGTTGGTAAGATGGTGCATCACCATTGATTATTTTAAACATAATTCCAGCCTTAATCTTTTTATGTCGTAAACAAAGATTGTCTAGGTGCAAATTATTCAAAAGAGAACTAGCGCTTGTATCATAGTGCGACCTCGTAATATTGCTGATTATGCAGGAAAATTTCAATATTTACAAGTATAAGCTATCACTCTGTGTTTACACGGCCACCATTGTTTTCAAGATAATCAGCAATATGATACCTTACTTCCCGTCACTCATTGCGCGCATATATTAAAAGCTGGAATTGCCTATTCGTAATTAAAAACCGTGAAGCCCATTTATCAACAATAGTCACAAACACTATGTTAAGACGTCATCAAAGTGTAGTTTCATTAGCACATTTATTTTGGTACGTTTAACACTAATTAGCTAACTCGACGGAGCAATTTTCCGCAAACCGCATGCAGGGTCACCAGTAATAATCAGTGTCAGCACTTTCTGCGTCACATCCCGCGAATACGAAATGAGATATTCACAAGGAGAAATACGCACATACGTGTAGTGTTGGTAACTGTAGTAATTTTGCATCGAGTGTCGTTTCCTCAGTTTCTTTTTACTTTCGTCTTCAAATTAACAATACTGACATCTTGAAATTCTGAAACTTCCGTTGATAGATAGGTCCCGTGAGGTAGCACGTAAATTATATTTGTCTAACGCGCAGAATTTTTTATGCGAGCCCCATTTTTCCGCAAACTGGCGACAGTCGATAACGTTGGCAGCCGTAGTAAAATCTTGTCAAGGTCCCGAAACGACCGAAGTCCCGGAAACGCCGAAGTTCGTGATAGGGTTATTTCCAGATATTTTTACGCATGATTATTGTGACGAAGTTAGAAACGTGAACGAAAGTCCATCGTAACTATCGTTATCTCAACGACTATCGTGATATTGTTTCATAATTATACATAGCTTTTTTAGTCTGTTGAGTTCGTGTTAACACGTTGTGGGACGCGCATGTAAACGCGTGTTTTGGAAAGTGGTGACAGATCGTTACTGGTGAGCCTGTGTTACAAGCATTTTCTTCCACCCTGCAATTTAGCATAACTTGCACAACAGACGTATTGCATTTTCCTCTGACTGTTCATATGAGCTTGCTTATCGAGACGCCTTTCTATCTCGCCTTCTAGTAATTTACCATAATTTACATCGCGTTCATGTGAGGATGTGCGCAGCATGGTCGACACTTGGCGATATTCTGGTTGTGTACACCGGGCTAAGTGGGATGAACAATTTTCGTGTAAACACACAATCCCACTTACTGGAATTAAGTCAAGAAACCGAAAATCGGATTTTACATTTGATTTTTACTTAGTTTTATGTTACCGAAATCGTTACAACACAGATGTGCAGGTGAAATTTACAACTTTTGCAAGTGGTGATTATAGAACTTCAGTGTAATTTGACTGGGCAACAGAGGTACACAACTCCATATGAACAGACGGCAATAACAATAGAAGAGACAATAGCGGTATGTTCAAAAAGAAAATCGATTCTTAGAAAATATGAGAAAATATGAGAAAAAAAACACTAAGGGAATGCAAATTCTGGCATTCGCGTTGGCCGTTGCCCTCAAACGTCTTGACAAGCGCGATGTGTTGTCAGGCTCTCAGACATGTCATAAGAAATACTAGAATGCCAGATTTTAAATAAGTAGACGAGAACAAAACTGTGGAAGTAATAATTGCCAAATGTACCTTGCTCGTGTTATATTATACATGAAAAAATTCTCAATTCTGATTGACTAAGAGCAGTGCAAGTTTTTCGAAATATACTGCTAAAAAATGAAATACAGTGCAATTTTCTTATTTTTTTTTATTTTTCAAATTTCTTAATTTTCTTAATTTCTAGACTGCATAATTTTTTCATGTATATTATTACACCCGTTTTCAAAATTACGCGACCTCCCTGAAAAATACTCCTACTTCAAATGTCAGTTTTATGTCACAAGCACTGCTAAAAATAGCAAATGTAAACAAACTGTCTAAAGACATTTTAAATCGTATTTAATACCAAAACTGAACAAAAATGAGTCAGATAACTTAGATATATAAACTAAAGCACAATACAAACCATCACAACAGAAATATGTGCGGTGAATGACTTTCAAAGTTTGAAAAATAACAATTTATCCTGAAATATAGCTGTCAGTATAAAACACGCGCGCTAGACTATAACGGTGATGTTATGATTTTGTCGTGCTTAAATTTTACAATAATTCTCACTAAAATATCTTGAAAATCATTGTAAGTCTGTTTATATAAAGCGTACAAAGCATATACATCGACAAGGAACCGCAAAACTCAAAGTTTGAACTTCGTGATCGAATGACATAAAACTGACATGTCAACTCTAGCATTTTCGTCTTTGGTCGCGTAATTTTGAAAACGGGTGTAATAAGTAATAGTATGGTTACTCGTGCAATTTGAAAAAAAAACATACACTCGTGAGTTTTTCAAAGATAGTCTTTAGTCTTTGAAAAACTCACTCGTGCATGTTTACCAAGTTGCACTCGAAACCAAACTATTACCTATATAAATTACATTTGAAATAATTTATATCAACTAAGTTCATTACTCAATAATTCAATCACACGCATTTTAGGGTGAGAAGTACTGGTACGGCTCATAAAGAGCAGTGTTTTATCATGGGCTGGAGTTCAGTGTTTTCCAAACTTTTCCAAACACCTCCATCGCACACAAGTCTACTCTGCCCGGCCATATCCGTCACTTGCTTGATTTCCGTAAACACGTCATCATTGCCACAGGTTACGTCATCTGTGGCATTGTTCACGTGACTGGTTAGAAATATCACGTTACTTGAATGTGACACCATGCAGTCATCAACTTCTTCATTATTCACTTGATTCGTTCTATACAGCACGCCATTTAATTCAGAAACAACACTCTCCACATGCATTGGGGGATCTTGATTAGACTCAAAAATTATGTCCTGACATTCATCACTCACGTGCACAATATCATCACTCACGTGATCAGTTATGTTAACAATGTCGTGCTGTGTGTCCATTTCCACAGACCTCGTGTTACCCAGATGCAACTGTGAGCTTGAGAGTTGGTCAACTGCCGCAAGTGATGTAAGGTCGATTGCCATCCCCTGAATATCACTAAAAATGTCAGCCGCACTACAGTTTTCTTCACGTTCATCACAGTTTGTTCAAGTGCGTTGGTAGTTTGTTCACGTGCGTTGGTAACCTGTTCATATGTACCAGCAGTTTGTTCACGTGCGTTGATAGTTTGATCATATGTACCAGCAGTCTGTTCACATGACAGAAGAACGTTTCGAGAGCGATTTTTCCTCCGACGGACAGTGAGAAGATGTCGTCGTTTCTTTTTACGTATGGGCTTCATCTGCTTTTCACTATGAGAACTGCTCTTTTGCTCCAGCACGATTGATTCATCTGTGATCTTAGCAGGTTTCATCGAATTGCACGCGACATTGTCATATAATCCTGCAACAGAGATCGCACTGTTCGTGTACTCTGTAGATTTGGCTGGTTGTAGGTTGTTGTGGTCGTTATGTTCATCTGAAACTGGACGTTCACAACAGTCAACTCCTGAATCGTAACCACAAGTTGTATTTTCCACAATTAAATCTGACAAAAGAAAAAAATCATTCAACTTCACCTGGCAACAGGGGTAGAAAAAGTATCGGACCACGCCACCTTTCAATAGTGTCAGAAAAAGTTTTCAGTTCCCAGAAAATATTTCGCCAAGAAAGAAAACAACATAATTGTAAAAATTTAGAGGAAAAGTATTCAAAGAAATAATGTTACCTGTACAGTAGGCATAACGTCAGAAATGCATCTATCTTAATAAGTGAATCTATCTTAATAATGCTATAGTGTGTAAATGTATAGACTATAGAAAAATGAAACAAATGTTTTATGGGAAATGCATTTTAGTTAATAGGAAACATCTGATTTTGAAACGTTACCGGGATCCCAGAAACCCTAGTAGTGCCCATTTTTGCAACTTAAATTTACCTTAGGATGAAACCCCCGACGACATGTTATCCAAATTATTTTTACGTTACATGGCCAAACGGCTAAAAGATTATCAAAATTCTAAGTGCACTGACAGTAACTTTTTTCTGTCAAAATATTGCAATTCTGAGTGGTGACCCTGAGTTGACATATCAACATTTCAAGATGTAAATCATGGAACTGCGACAACATGATTACTGCTACCGCAACATTTGGGTTGGTACAGTAAGCAGATATCGGAACATGAACCGCGGCGCGTGATAATGGGTTCGGATTTCACAAAATTAGAAACCAAATCTTCTATTGGCGTCAACAAACTAAGAGACACATTTAGATCGAGGACGCGGACGTCAAAGACGACGTGGAAATGGCGTCAAAATGGCGTGGGATATCCATACATGGGCACAACACGCCATTTTCACGTCGTTTTTTTGACGTCCGCGTCCTGGATCTAAATCTGTCTATTGTCGATGTTAGCGGGATTTTTTGGTCGGGGTCAACGTGGTTAAATTTATCTAGAGATTCTCATCTTACCTCTTATTCTATGAGTATCTCTCTTCACTCTCTTGCTGGTATCACGAAAACTGTACTTCTTTTCCTCCGCGTCCTTGCTGTCATGACAACTGAATGCACCTTTACCACGTCTCTCGCACGTAACACACTCGCATTTACAGTTGGCATCACCAAAGAAGTCGTCGCCATAGTAACAAGTGATTTCGTCTCCTTCATCAATATCACGCAGTACCTTAACACAGGCTGTCGAGAAACCAGTCGAGACAAACTACAGGGAAATATTTACAAGCCGTTAAGGCCGTTTTCCACTTCAAGCGTATCGTACCGTAACGTATCAAAAACGATTTTAAATTTCAAAATTTCGTGAATGTTGATTGGTTAGTACTTCCGTATAGTACGCCAAAAAGTTGACTTGCGACGAACTTTTTATTTTGATACGAGAATAAAACCGGAAGTACGTGGTTTTATAAACCTCTTTTCAATCTGCGCATGCTCACCAGTACGTTTCGCTACGATACGGGCGAAGTGGAAAACCGGCTTAAATCTTTAAGACTAAGTTCACGCTACGCTGGAGTGTTTTTTGAAAACGGTGCAGAAAAGTTACAATAGACCTTTCCCCTTTTGAGTGAAATTTTGATCTAGACAAGTCTAGACAAAAATTTCATCACAGCTTGAAAGAACATCACAAAATTAGTAATATTCCGAAGTTTCGTTGCGAAATGTTGTAAAATGTGGATAATATGGCCTTGCGAAGTTTGCCGTTTTTCAGTCATTTTGTATTACAAACGGGAAATTGATAATCAGTTTGATCATCTGATTATCAATTTCCCGTTTGTAATGCAAAATGACTGAAAAAAAACGGTTTATAGGAGAAGTTGCAAGGAATAATCTAAATTTTGTACAAACAACTTTCTGTTTACTGCATAGTATAATACCCACTAAGAAGCGAATCTTGCAATAAAACCTGCTCTCCACTTTAATCGCATCGTTAAGGCCCGTTTACACTGGCAATTTTTGCTGCGATTTTAGTTGCGATTTTCTCCTTTTGAAGGATGTGAAGGAGTAGATTACGAAGTTGTTATAAGATTTCACAACCTGGAACATTTATAACTCACCTACTCCTTCACATCCTCCAAAAAGAGAAAATCTCAACTAAAATCGCAGCAAAAATCGCCCGTGTAAACGGACCTTAACGTATATAGCATTATTTTCTTCTAATGAACTTGGTTTCACCCTTTCGGTACAATACAGTTAAGGTGGCTCGATATAGTTATCACAAAAATCTTGCTCAAGAATCTCGAACTCAAAACCGGGCGAATATTTTTACGCGCAGGTCGCGGAAACTGATTAACAAAATGAAAGAACTTCCAAAGTGACCTGACGTGAGCAGTTGCTCACGTCATATCACGCCATTCCGCGTGTTCTATAGCGTTTTATGTCAATTGCTGACGTCATTAGAATTTTCCATTTTAGAAAAACAATGCGCTATATCTCTTTATTTTGTCTGGTGACATATGTTCAAATTTTGCATGCTGTATTGCACCGCTAAAAACTTTTATTATACAAAAAATAAAAAAATTCTGTAACGCCAAAAAAATTTTACCGAAGAATATGACATTTTCGCTTTTCCAAAAAAATGGCATTACAGAATATTTTTATATTTTGCTAATTGTTAGCTTTTCGTCCAAGTAAAATAATGCACGAAAAATAATTGGGGGTCACCATGCTTTTTTTCCAACTATACGAGACGATAGGCCACTTTGGAGTGAATTTCGTACACGTATGTCGTCATAGCAACGATCTATCTGTTACTAAAACTAATATAATTTGAAAGTAGAGTTATCAAAATATATAAAAAACCCAATATCTGCTGAATAAATCCTAAAAATACGTAGTTTGAACATGTCAAAGTGTTAAACCATGGATAAATAAAATACATGGATAGGAAACTAGCTGACGTGACCTAATGTTTTCAATGGGATGATGGCGTTGCAACCTAGTTGCAAACCAAATTCTCAAAAACGGCATGTTTAGCGATAATACAGCTAAACATTTTAGTCAAAGAGCAAATAAACATGACTAAGCCATTCTACAATGAAATCTCTAAGTATTCCCGGTCAATTTTAGCAAATATTTCAAGCACTAAACACTGAAAAATGCATCGCAAATTTCGTAAAAAATGGCGACGCCAATTTCGTAGCTACAAATGTTAAAAAATACAAAACAAAGACGAAAAACACTTACCTTAAATACTTTGTCGTGGCTTAGGCATGTTTTTAAAACAATTATACCAATTTATGCTTCAATATTACTCTTTTGAAGCGGAAAATATAGCGAAACAACAAAAATGCTGAAAGTTTTCGCAATACACATGACGTCACAGATTGCAACTAGGTTTAGACTGTGACGTCAGGAAGTTTCCTATCCAGTTATTTTACAATCCATGGTTAAACACCTGAATTTTTGAAAACTGTATCGAGCCACCTTAAAGTGGAAATTAACTAACTTTGCACCCTGGAGAAAATCCTGTTTTTAAAATCCTCGTTTCCTAACTAGGAAAAATGTTTCTACATGTAAGAATCTAAACGTAATGGAGTTATCCAGCATTGATGTAGGTAATGATCGACATTTAGTACTACCTACATTTACAGCCTCATATACCGTCCTGATATCAACATTTTTAATTCAGGTTGATAACACAGGAAGTTGTAATCACTGGCTGATATGATCTACGCCAAACTACTGTACTAACGAACTCTCAGCTTGAGACAAATTCACGTTTGTTCACATTTGCACACTTTTCAATGGACCTATTCCCTAATGAACAAAATTTTGATCTAGACAAGTCTAGACAAATATTTCACCACAGCTTGAAAGAGCATCACAAAATTAGTAATATTCCAAAATTTCGTTGCGCAATGTTGTGAAATGCAGATAATAGTGAGCTTAAGTAAGTGACGTTTTTGACAACACGAACGGCATGAGTAACGTCAGAAGACTGGGTCAAAGGCAGAAGGGCTGTGATTGGTGAAAAACGTCAACTTTATTTCCGGTCGACGTCCGTGTTGTCAAAAACGTCAATTGCTTAAGCTCACTAATATGGCACTGCGAAGTTTGCCGTTTTTCAGTCATTTTGTATTACGCACGGGAAATTGATACCGCTTTCTGAAAAAAGGTATCAATTTCCCGCGCGTAATACAAAATGACTGAAAAACGGCAAACTTCGCAGGGCTATATTATCCTCATTTTACAACATTTCGCAACGAAACTTCGGAATATTACTACTTTTGTGACGCTCTTTCAAGCCGTGGTGAAATATATGTCGAGACTTGACTAGATCAAAATTTTGTTCATTAGGGAATAGGTCCATTGAATTAAATATATCCGTTAACAGGAAACCGTGGTTCTGTTGTTGCAAAACGATACAGCTTCTGTAGGATGTAACCAAGAATTTCAACGTTTGTAAGATGGAGCTGCTCGTGTAATCATTCAACGCTCATTATCTGCTGGCTTGCTTGAAGCCCTGAAATAGGCGAGTTTGCATGTCTATACGCAAGTGCAATGATGAAAGTGCAACGAATACGCCTGTTACCATCATATTAATGCAAGACAATTAAGCAGAAATTTGAAATTAAAATCCAACGGAGTTTTAGACGCCGTCGTTGCTCGGTTTACAACGGCAAAATACAGATTATCTCGTCTTGAATGATGAATACTGTACAACGCTCACATATTGTATCAAGCAATTTAAGATCGATTATCTATAACGCTGTTAAAAAATAATAAGCTTACCTTGCAATTTGGACGGCAATCTAAAACAAAACGTATGCCGAGTGTAAGTAAAAAAATATATTTCTTTTCGTTATGAGAAGGGTCAAACATTTCCACATTTTCTAACACATGTAAAACCAGCGGTCATGGAGATATTGCTTCCCTCAGACCCTGTAAATAAGCGTTCAATGTTTCATGACAACCAACGCGCGTCAGCCTTTGCAGTATATCCATCACTATTGGTATTTGTGAAATATCGCTTGTTTTATGTTATAATTTAAATTGAATATATGGAATCTATTCGGTATTGAGCATGCATGACTTTGCCAAAAGGTGATAAATTTCCTTAATCCGACCATGGATATAGGAAACTCATGATCACGCATGTTTCAGCGTGCTGATCGCGTGTCAACCTTGCTGAAAATGAAGACATCACTTAATCCAAAATAGTTTCATGACTAGCAATAATACAGCTGAGCATTTTGGTCTAAGATGTAAAAATACAACCACGCCACTCTACGAAATATAAACTACTGTATTTATTTCTACGACGAAATATTGACGAAATTTAACTTTCTTCGAAGATGCATGTAGGCCGTCGTCTAGTGCCCCAAAAGATGGCTAGAAAACGATTTTCGTTGCACACCTCTTTAAACTAAAAAAAATTACATATTCTTATAGATGAAGTCACGCTGAATCCAAATCTAAAAAGTTCTTGCGGGTTCACCCTGCAGTTTTTTTGTAAATTGCGATCAAAATCTTAAAATTTACGAGTTTCGCAATAGCATTTTTACTATATGCCATACGTCAAAATGCCTACTCTCGGAACCAGTCACTCGCGCGCCATAGTGAAAATTATACAGGATAGGTCACTTCCACCTCCTCTTGAGATATGTGAAATCGGATTTGAGGTAAACAATGAGCAACACAACACGATTTTCGAGTTTCATATATTATTGCGACAAAGCATATTTTTTGGCTTTGTACGAAGATATTTAGCAACACCAGGCATTCTTTCAAGATTATGAACTTATGTGCACACTATATCATCTTTATGGCGTGTAATAAAGGACGAAACAAACTTCAATTTTATATTTTGTCATTTTGAAGATAAGAGTGGACATAATTGTAGTATAAATGGATATATTTGTATCAGTATGGTAAGTCAAAAACTACCAAATACTTAAGGTGGCTCCCTACAGTTTTCTAAAATTTGAGATATTTTAGGTAACATTCGCGTCCGACCATGTTTATATTGAATACATTTACGGTAGGGCAATATGATCATTTTCAGGGAAGTTAAGAAGCTTTGTACTGTCCATATATGGACAAATAGGAACAGTGTTAGTGTTGCCATGGAAACTATGTCATGTTATCTTTTGCGCTTTTATTGTCTAATTTCGCAATAAATCGACAATATTTTTATTTTCCTTCGGTTAATTTTTCTGAATTTTTTTTTACCATTTATAAGTCTACAAAGGAGTAACATATCAAAATTTAAAGGAAATTTATAAATAATTTTTCGAGATATTCATGAATAAGTGTTACAGAAAAAATTATTTATAGAATTTCTTGAAATTTGGATATGTTTTACCACTTGTCTTTTACAACAAAAATACAAAGTTTAAAAAAAATTCACCGAAGGAAACACGAGAAATTCGCCCCTAAATTCGGCGCGACCAGGCGCGAACGTGAAAAAAAATCCACACGACATGAGCACGATCTGCGCGTGCGCTAACTATATAATGCGTGAACGACACGAAACGCGTGGGTTAACCGACTTGGTTGATTACAAATTTTTCTCAATCAGTCAAACTGTTTATATTCGTTCGAAATGCTGTATAATGGCGGCTAAAATTCTCGGTTTTTTGGTCACTCTTGGCTTGTTCTTTTTGGATGTTGTTGGAGGCTTTGAAAACACAGTGATCAGTGCCTTTCTACCGTGTTTGACAAACAGTTGCATCAGATCGTCGTACGATAATCCGCTGCCGGCAATCTTTTCTGCCATGCTTTTGGTTATTGGTGCCTGATCGGAACTGACTTCGCTGTACAATTTGCATCGCATTGTCTGAAGTAACTGGTACCGTTTGTCCAAATATCGGGTGTCTTTCAGAGCATCGCCACTAGAGATTGGTTTACAGTATGTGATGATATCCTGCTCGGTCAGATTGATCGGTGAGGAAAACAAAATTCTTCGAAGCGCCACCACATCCTCCTTGGCATCGTGTGCAGCAAATTTCTCGTTGAATAAACCCTCGTAGATCGACGACTGGTTTGACGAACATCTTCGACCATTTGATTGGGTTAACGCTGGATGTTTGATCTTTATCAGGTGCTCGAACAATGGAAGACTGTCGCCAAAACAAATCCCTAAAGCTTGCATTTTAGCGTGAATTTCACTGGCACTGTTACGAAGCAATATCGGGATGTCGAAACGCCTTGCATTATGGCCGATTACAACTGTACATACACCTTTGTTCGTCCTAGCCTTGCTGGATTCGATGCAGCTGTGAATATAGTTGACAAATCGAGAAGTTGCATCTTGACAGGTAAGTGTTTTTAAAGCTACATCATCTTTAAAAAGTGTTCGTTTGCCATCAACTAATTTTACTGTCAGTTTATTTACCCGTGTGGCATATTTGTCGATGTCTTTGTCAGGCAAAATATACTCGGAAAAACACTTTTGGCCGGTCTTATCAACAGCTGAAAGCTGGCACAACTGGGCAGCTTTACCTGTTGTGTTTGTCTCGACATCAAACACAATAATATTGTACTCTAAGTTACTGTCAAATTCATTATTCGGACAAATTGGCCTTGGGGTGAATGGGGAGATTGTTCCTTCATAAACAGTTATTGTTTCCTTTGGTACATTTCCCTTGATTAACTGAAGTAGCCCTGTGATCGATTCACTTCCAGTTATAGTAGCCCCAGACTCTGACTGTTCCAAGTTCATACCAATACCTGATTCATAGGTTGGGCCTTCTTGTTTTTCTTTTCTCGCAGTGCCTTGGATTCTTCGGCTATGAAGTTGATTTCTGCGCTGCTTGA